GCAACAAGATTTGTTCAAGCCTAAAATCTTAGTCCGTAATCGTAACATGGTTTTCGTATGTTCACAGATGAAATTTCACATTTACGTTTCACGCACGGCTTTTCTTACGATCCTAACAATTTACGTATGGATTTTCTTACAATCCTAACGACACGTCCATTCAACTTTTTGGCAGCTATCTGGCTCCATAGCTGGCTTACTATCAACGTGTAAAATGGTCTTGAGTGGCAACAAATCTGCCCAATTAGCTGATTCGCTTTCCATACACCCACTCCTTTCGACACACCCACTCGCCCATACTCCGGTCGCCATATTGGGCTGCAGATACCCATACTTGACACACGGGTTGAAAAAGCATGCAAACTTAGCGTCGGACGTCATTGATGACGTACTTCTGATAAAGTGATACACGCATCGGCACACTGTTTCGAAGTTGGCGATTTCGATGCATGCCTCGGAGCTCCAGCATCAAAAGTAACATCACTAATTAATGATACAGCACTGCCTTTTGTGCCTTATTGCTTAAATACAGCATGACCAGATCTGGGACCAGGCTAATAATCCTTAAATACCACTAAACGTAATTTCACGTACATTGTGTAGTGTATTATTTACCTGCTGAAGCCCAGCTCTTTCTTATAGCACCAGAGGACAGATGGTCTGGCTCTGACTGCGGCTTTGGACAGCATGTGGTGCAGGATGACAACCTGGATGAAGTTAAATTAAAAATAATTAAACAATGATTACAGGTGACACACAAACAAACAGTTATTGGCTGATATCAATGTCTTAATCATGTAAAAGTAGACGTTTTTACCTGGTCTCTGCCATGGTCCCCGACCACCACGAACATGGTGCGGTGCTGCTCAGAAACGCCATTATCTATCTGGACACGGATCCTGTTATCTATCTTCTTCCGAAATGTTGCCATGATGGTCCCTGAGAGCGAAAAGTAGTAAGGCTGCTCCAGTAAGGGTGTTATGCAAGCGGACTATTTCTGATGTACTACAGCTAGATAGTTCTGTCAATGGGCATCTGGGTACAACCTGGCAGCGGCACAACAGTACATCTAGTTAGCTGATCACATCCCTTCAATCCAACAGATTATTTATGTTATGATTTGATTTATCTAGCTAGCAGTTATACAACTCTCTGGTTTAAGATATCGTTCTTACCTGACGTAGTTAGTAAGCCCACTTGTGTTTAATCCTAATAAAACGAATGAATGTAGATGAAAACACGATAAAACTCTGGAAGCAGTTACTTTAGTTTACATGCTGGCCATCATGCCGATAAATTCACGTGGGGACGGCGGTACTGAAGGACCCTGATATGACGTCAGAGTTATGCGACAAAGGTACATGAGCCGTCTAACCAAATGCCTGAAGGTAAAATGTTTAAACCTGAAATAAACTAAAAATACTCACAAGCAATGAGGTGCAGAAACACGTAAACCTACAAATATATATAAATAAAATATGACTGATATTTCTAAATATATTCATGATAGTACAATACCAAAGATTATGAACATACTGACAATATATACATCTATCCACACTAACAATGGGAGTCGTTGTCCGCCATAGCGGCACGACAGGCTGTCTCGCTCGCGCCTATCCTTTCTTTGGCTTGGTGAATAAATCTCATTATTGCGAGAATTTTTTTTAAGAAAAAAAAAAAACACAATTATCAACTTACATCCCTACATCAAACATGTCTAACAAAACAAAACACAGGTATAAACAAGAAAATACTAAATACATACAAAAATATGTATATAAAAACAAATGACAATTCTAGTGCAATTGTATTCACTCAGAAAAAATCTTATGATTCAGGAAGACGTTATTCTTTTTTGTTATTCACTATGGATAATGTCTTAACCAGATGATAACATTAAAAAAATATATATTGGTAATTTTGGTATAGAATTCTGGAAATTATTGCAATCCATTTTGATATACACAAAAAAAAAAAATTATGCACGCATGACTGTAAGTCGCTTTGGATAAAAGCGTCTGCTAAATGGCATATTAAAAAAAATATATATATTAAATATTCGATGAAGATTGTTGACGTCAACCGCGGCAGTGTTGCCAATTTAGCGACTTTGTCGCTATATTTAGCGAGTATTCAGACCCCTCTAGCGAAACATTTTCAAAAAAGCGACTAGCAACAAATCTAGCGACTTTTTCTGGTGTTATTGGAGACTGACGTGAAAGCACGTATCGTTCTTACTCTGCTCAACGAGCAGCCGGGGGGGCAACCGCGGGCCCCACACCCCGGGTGCTGCCGCGGGCCCCACCCACGTCCCAAAGCACTCACAGGCGTAGCAGTCCCTCCCAGCTGCAGTCAGAGCAGGAGATGTTCACCCCTCCCTGTCCAGACTGCAAATGAATCGCGCATGCAGGAAGCCACCCTGGCTTACATTCAGGACTGGATGTAAATGTAGGGTGTTTTTTACTCACTTTTTGTCTCTCCCACGACATTATTCCACTGTCCTACTGCATCCATCACAATTACATGCATATGGCCAATTATGCAAATTAGGTGATGACGTCATTTAGCGACTTCTAGCGACTTTTAGGACAGCCAATAGCTACTTTCCTTACTGAGGAGTTGGCAACACTGCAACCGCCTGGTATTCAATGGAGAGATGCTATGCTACTAGCCTCATGACATGAATATGCATCGCCATCTCGAGACAACTCTGATATAGTGTTTTTTCCCTCAAAGTTGCTGGGATTTCACGTGTCATGCTTCTAAGTACACTCGTAACAACTTAAGCATTACGAAACTTCTATTAAATCAAATAAAACTGATGAGGCAAATAAGCCATAAATGTTTTGTTGACCAAATTCAACACTCATTGAACTGAATTGCTTGGTTGGCGAAACGATTAAAATGCCACCTGCTGGAGGGAGACAGGTTTTCCTCCAAATTGGGCCTCTTCCTCTCTGACAATCCTAAAAAGAGGGGTTATTATCATTTATAACCAGACTGCCTCATCTCTATACATCACCAGAGGAAGATAAAGAGGCCCAATTAGGCAGAAAATCTGACTCCCTCCAGCACGTGGCGTTTTTTCATTGTTTCGCCCACCAAGCAATGAGTTTTTGTATGGAGGTCAATGACGGTGTCGAACGTGGTCAACAAACAAATGGCTTATTTGCTACGTGAGGTTAATTTGATCGAATAGAACTTTCGTAATGTGACATCCCGGCAACTTTGGGAGGAAAAAATGGCTATGCATATTCATGGCATGAGGCTAGTAGCATAGTATCTGTCTCGTTTGAATACAGGCGGTAGAAGTCAACAACCCTCATCGAATATTCAAAAGCGGATTGCAATAATGAGATGTATCCACCAATCCAAAGAAAGGATAGGCGGGAGCTAGACAGCAGTGTCGCTTTATGGACAAAGACTCCCATTGTTAGGGCGGAGAGACATGCATCTTGTCAGTATATCTATAATCTTTGACTGCACTTAATAAAATCACCACTTCAAGGTCTTCCTCAACAAGTAACACACCTGTTGAGGAAGCTGTTTAATTTAGCCTCTGAGCTAATAAGAAGCGTAGATAGGAAATGTAGTCTTGATTCATCCGTGTTCCCTACCCACCTCTCAGACTGTGTCATTTTCTACAGAGAGTGCAATACACAGCTCTTTCCATCACAAGTTAAAACCATCTTGTCTAGCCCTGGCTACACCTTCATCATCCAGCAATAAAGGACACTGGACACAATCACCACAAATCAAGGGTAATGCAACATCTTTATTGAAACTCTTGAAGCAACATCAATTTACAAACTGAGGAATTGGGAGCTTCTTTTAAAAACGTAACAAAAATGCAAAGATGAAGTGAACAAAACAAAAACAGGGGGGGGGGGGACTGGGCAAGAGAAAGAAATACACCCGGGGGCTCGGACCAGCAGTGGCAGGGTATTTTTGTGTTTCATTTTATTAAAAAAAAATATATAATGAAATCTTTCAAGTTTACAGGAATATTTGTTTCCAACACAGGCTTGCTTAAAACCGTCGTAACATTAAGGATTTACAGATTGGCTTGTGTATTCAGACTAATTTTAAAACAATATTTTTTCAATATCAAAGCAGGCATTACTTTGATCCAAAAGCCAGGAGAAATACCACTGATGAGAAACAAAAAGGACAAATAAAAGTGAGATGGGGGCAAAATGCATTCTGGATATCTTGAATGTTTAGTGTGGCCTGGAAAGTTGTCAGTCAAAACCTGTTCCAGTCGTTCCTTCCACCCCCCCCCCCTCCCCTCCCCCCCCCCGGCCCTGACCCTTCAATTTGCCCCACCCAGGAAAAAGGTAACCAAGTAAATAGGTCCACCACTACACTGTTATACGTACCAGACGTTTTAGATCTGCAAACATTGAAATGTTAGGGCCAAGGAGAAAGGGTGAATTGGGACAGTCAGACAGTCAAACAGGCCCGATCAGGACCTCATGGCCTGGGCATTGCCTCCTCGAGACACCCCTCTGGATCCCTGGCCTGCGCCACGCTTGTAGTTCTGATTATAACCATCCTGAAGCAGGGAAAAAGACAGACAAAACATTACTACTAACCGTTCCTTATAGAATACTCCTATATAGATTCCTAACAAATAAAAGGAGACCATCCAATATTAAGGCAAGGAGAGGGCAAACTTAGGCCCACAAAACAATACTAACATGTAATGCAACAACTCCTATAGATGCCAAACAGATAATGAGACCATCCAAGATCCCCTATGGTATGGGGAAGGACTTCTTTGAGGGCCAACTTCCCGGACCCAGATTAAGCCTACTCTTGAATTTGAAAACTAATGCTCAATGGAGAAACTCCCCCAATTGAAAGTGCTTTTAAATCCAGGGCTTAATCTGTGTCCGGGAAACCGGCCCTGAGCATGTTAGCTCAACAGCCCTCCTCCAACCCTGTGCCATGGATAAGGTCAAAAGGTTATTTACCCCCCGCTGGTAGTTGCCACCATTGGAGTAGTCCCGCGGGTTGTTGAACTGAGCCTGTTGATATCCAGAGTTTGGAGTGTTGGCGAAGGGAGGCCGGTAACCGTCATATCCACCTGGAAGGGATTATTACACTCCAGTTAGACGCAGTCATTCAGAAAAAAAGCATAGATTGTTTCTTTTGCTTATCAAACAGCAACAAGACCATGATGACACCAATGTGTGCAACAAGCATGTCTTATCAAATCTCAAACGAATTGAGATCAAATCCGATAGATGTAGGCTTTCTCCCATACACAACACTCAGCTCAATCGATCTATTTAACTAACTACACTATAGACAAGAAAGCTCTAGTGTATCTTGAGGCTGATGTGTGGCCCTGCACAAGTTAGTTTGTAAAGGACAGGTCAGGCTACTGTACCTCTGAATCCGTTGGAGGGGCCTCTGTATCCGTTGACCATGCCGCGGGCATTACGGGGACCTCCGCGGGTCATGCCTCTGCTGTTGTAGAAGGACTGGGCCTGGCGACCAGCCCCAGGGACGAACCCTGGACCCTGCTGGCCGGGCTGCTGCCCCTGGGACAGGGCCTGGCTGGGCAGGGATGGGTCCTGGGAGTGGAAGGCACCAACCACTACAGACAGGGAAACATAGTTTGAGTAAAATGGCCCTTTTAAGACAAACAGTCATAATACAGTTAGTGAAATATCCTTTTCACACCATCTAGTGCTGTTCAACCTGTTCACATTGCCCTTTTCTGGACAGTTCCAGTACCACTTTGGTAAATGCATAACCAGGCCAGTGGGGTACGGCTCAACTTGGTTTTGCTCGGTAGTATGACAAGGGTAAAAATCTGCTCCAGCCCTGCTAGCTCACCAGACTGCAGCTGTTCCGTCTGCATCTCGGTCTGCTCCACACCGAGCTGCTGTGATTGGCTGCTGAAACCCTGCTGGCTGTAGCTGTTCTGGTATTGGCTGGCCTGGGTCAAGGCTTCCGCCTCATTGGCCGGCGGGACAGGGGCATTGAGGTTGAACACCTGGGGGGGGGACAAGGTAGCCTGGTTAAAAGAATGGTGAGCGGTGTGTTCAGTCTGGTTTAACAAGACTTGGAACAAGGAACAATTGTCACTCACAGGCTTATCAAGAGTTAAAGCTACAATCTGGGATTTGTGTTTCAGCCCAATAGTATCCCTGCCACTTAAACGGAGGAATCAAATCTACACTGCAGTGTCCCTAGTTCAGTATTATGTAAACCATACCTTGTTCCACCCCCCCCCATTTTTCCTGTGGCCAAATAAAATCAAAGAATGGTTTTGAGTGCTGTAAGAATCCCAGTTAAATCCTTCCAGTTAGGTTGCATGTGAGTGCCGGCAGTAGTAGTAAACAGAGATACTGCACTATAAGCATTGTCATGAAAGGGCCAATCCGCAGTTGAAACAATAACAAAAGTGGAACCCCACCTCGGTTTTGGTAAGAATTACCTTGACTAACCTGTACTCCTGCACATTGACTCGGTACCGGTACCCCCTGTATATAGCCTCATTGTTGTTCTTTTTTATTTGTTTCACTTTATTTAGTAAATATTTTCTTAACTCTTATTTCTCTTAAAACTGCATTGTTGTTTAAGGGCTTGTAAGTAAGCACTTCACAGTAAGGTCTACGCCGGTTGTATTCGGCGCATGTGACAAATACAATTTTATTTGAAGTTGAGGGATGGGCCTGGAGTGATGTTACCACTCAGAAATTCATAGAGCTAAAGATGCAAGGACTGACCATCCATGATTTCAAAATGACAGTTTTTAACCATGTTTTGAGGCTATACAGTGTTTGTTTACACTTGCAATGTTTACAAATATTTGAGTAAAAATAGCTTATATTTTTGGTTCTGATGGGGTGAGACAGTTGATGTAGCAACTGCAGATTGCCCCTTTAAGCAGGGTTGATTGAGGGCACGTTCCACAGTGAAGGCAACGCAACAACCAATGGTAGCGTGCCACGTGATCGACAGAAAAATGGCTATAACATACAGTACGTCAAAAGTTTGGACACACCTACTCATTCCAGGGATTTTCTTTATTTTACTATTTTCTACATTGGAGAATAATAGTGAAGATAACAAAACTATGAAATAACACATATGGAATCATGTAGTAACCAAAGAAGTGTTAAACAAATCAAAATATATTTTATATTTGAGATTCTTCAAAGTAGGCACCCTTTGCCTTGACAGCTTTGCACACTCTTGGCATTCTCTCAACCAGCTTCATGAGGTAGTCACCTGGAATGCATTTCAATTAACAGGTGTGCCTTGTAAAAAGTTAATTTGTGGAATTTCTTTCCTTCTTAATGCGTTTGAGCAAATCAGTTGTGTTGTGACAAGGTAGGGGTGGTATACAGAAGATAGCCCTATTTGGTAAAAGACAAAGTCCATATTATGGCAAGAACAGCTCAAATAAGCAAAGAGAAACGACAGTCCATTATTACTTTAAGACATGAAGGTCAGTCAATCCGGGAAATTTCAAGAACTTTTAAAGTTTCTTCAAGTGCAGTCGCAAAAACCATCAAGCGCTATGATGAAACTGGCTCTCATGAGGACCACCACAGGAAAGGAAGACCCAGAGTTACCTCTGCTGCAGAGGTTAACTGCACCTCAGAAATTGTAGCCCAAATAAATGTTTCACAGAGTTCAAGTAACAGACACATCTCAACATCAACTGTTCAGAGGAGACTGCGTGAATCAGGCCTTCATGGTCGAATTTCTGCAAAGAAACCACTACTAAAGGACACCAATAAGAAGAAGAGACTTGCTTGGGCCAAGAAACATGAGCAATGGACATTAGACCGGTGTACATCTGTCCTTTGGTCCAAATATGAGATTTTTGGTTCCAACCGCAGTGTCTTTGTGAGACGCAGAGTAGGTTGATCACATCTCTGCATGCGTGGTTCCCACCGTGAAGCATGGAGGAGGAGGTGTGATGGTGTGGGGGTGCTTTGCTGGTGACACTGTCAGTGATTTATTTAGAATTCAAGGCTCACTTAACCAGCATGGCTACCACAGCATTCTGCAGCAATACGCCATCCCATCTGGTTTGCGCTTAGTGGGACTATCATTTTTTTTTCAACAGGACAATGACCCATAACACACCTCCAGGCTGTGTAAGGGCTATTTGACCAAGAAGGAGAGTGATGGAGTGCTGCATCAAATGACCTGGCCTCCACAATCCCCCGACCTCAACCCAATTGAGATGGTTTGGGATGAGTTTGACCGCAGAGTGAAGGAAAAGCAGCCAACAAGTGCTCAGCATATGTGGAAACTCCTTCAAGACTTTTGGAAAAGCATTCCAGGAGACCACCTCATGAAGCTGGTTGAAAGAATGCCAAGAGTGTCTACTTTGAAGAATCTAAAACATAAAATATATTTTGATTTGTTTAACACTTTTTTGGTTACTACATGATTCCATATGTGTTATTTCATAGTTTTGATGTCTTCACTATTATACTACAATGAAGAAAATAGTAAAAATAAAGAAAAACGCTTGAATGAGTAGGCGTCCAAACTTTTGACTGGTACTGTATGTGGTTAGCTGATACTTAAAAATACCTATCTAGGCATTGTAAGATCTGTCAGGCTTCAGCAACGTCTAAGCATAGGAACACGACCCATATCTGTCCCCAGGTGTGTGTCTTCCAATGACCCCACTAAGGCCTTACTCTGTGTCTGTGTGTGAGAGAGACTGTGTTTGCGTTTTTGACTAAGGCCTTACTGTTTGCATGGACTGGAATGGTGCTGCATTGACATTGATGCCGGAGCTGTGTGGGGGTTTGGAGATGTTGACAGGCTGGAAGACCTGCTGCTGGGTCTGAGAGGAGGCAGGGGGGAGGGCCGAGGACGGAAGGGGCTGCTGCTGCTCTGACGACAGGGACATGGACGCCTGGGGAGAGGGGAAGAGTACCATCAGATACAGTGGTCCTGTACTCCGTTGATAAGAGTGTGGCGCTAGTAACGCCAAAGTTGTGGATTCAATTCCCACAGTGAGTCCATCTTTTTTTTTGTATGTGTATATGATCACTGTGGGAATTTAACCCACAACTTAAAAGTTGCTCGCAAGTCAACTGCAAGTTGCTGTCTAATGGATAAAAGTGTTTGTTAAGTGGCATGTATTATACTTTTATAATTTTTTACCTGGATGGTGTCGATGGAGTCTGCATGTGGGCGTGGTTCTGGCGTGTGTGATGACTGGAACATGGGGCACGGCGTGGAGTATGACTCAGGCGTGGGGGACACCATGGGAACCTGGGGATGAAGGAGAGGACTCATTCAGACATCAAGATTCCTAACCTCTTCACCATAGAGAAGTACCCTATTTAAAATAGATCAAATGCATCCTCTGACCTCACCTCATTGGAGTGATCACTAATCTAAAATGATTGGGTAAGTGATAAAGGGTTCCTCTAAATACTTTTGGCCAATCCAGACAGGTCATATCAGTGATTACTTAAAGGAATGAAGGGTGCATTTTCAAAGTATTTGAACAGGGCCAACGTTATGTTATTAAAAGGATACCCTGCCATCATCCTCTAATAACACCAGCACTCACTTGCATGGGCTCAGGCTGTACCGGGACGGTGTTGTGTGGTGAGAGGCGTGATTTTGGGTGGACTGGGGGACAGCCCAACTGAGGAAGGTCCATGTTCTGAGCTGCAGGCTTCATGGGCTGGGCTGACACGATGGCTGGGTCAATGAGCTGGCCATCAAACTCCAGCATAGAGTCCTGAGGGAGGAAGTAGAAAACAGTGTTATGGCTGAATAACAAAACTCTTTCCTTTATTCCTCTTCTTTTCTTTATTCCTTTGATTCCTTGATCTTCTGACAACTCCTCAAAATGCATTGTTCCTCAGGGAAGCAAACAAGATTATGGCACTATGCTGAATATGTGACTGACTGTCTGAGGTTCAAAGCCACAAGACTGTGTTTACCTGCTGAGCTAAAGCCTAGGCATTAGCTTGGACCAAATGCCAAGTATTCAGGTCCAAACCACCCCATTGCACATGCCTGCACCACAGTCACACCAACCACAGCTAATGCCTTAGCTCAGTGGGCTAACAGTCTTGAAGAAGGTGGTGGGTCGAATCCTCACCTGCATGAAGTTGTAAGGCCCCTGCATCTGTGACAAGAGGTCCTGGACCACCTGCTTCCTGACCACCGGGGGTGTGACTGTGGGTGTGGCCACGTTCAGGGGGTGGGTCTCCAAGGCGATGGGGGGAGGGGCTGACTGTACAGGCTGTTGCTGGATGACACTCACCACCTGAGGGGGAGGAGCAAGAGGCAAGGCCAGAGGCTGTATACCCTATGAAAGTACCCTTCAGTACCCAGTCCCATAATCTCTTGACTAGACTTGAAGATTATATCAAATTCATAAAAATATGGTAATTTAAGATGTATATAAAATTATATTCGTATTCGTGTATTGATTTAGTCATACCCGATGCCTTTTATCAAAATATTTTACGTTCAAGAAGTAAGACGTTGCCTAAAGTTAGAAAAATCTCATTTGGACTGCATCTCCTGCTGCTTTGATCGCATGCCGAAGCATGCCTGCTTCGAGCTGTGGACTTACAGTAAAACCTGTTAGTTACAGGCCGTTTGACGAGTTTTATATTAGATGATGCCGTTTTCTTTTTTACTGAACGTTGCCAGCCAATACTTTAAAATGCAAAAAAAAAAGGCATTAATTTGTTTATAGTTCATGTGTGTAGTTCTTTTAAACTTTTCGGCTTCGTGCTTCTTCATGCCGTCAAATATGTTGAAAACCGGCATATGGTATGTTAATTCACTCGGAAACACGCATACAATTTAATATACACTGAGTGTACAAAACATTAAGAACACCTTCCTAATACTGAGTTGCACCCCCGATTTTGCCATCAGAACAGCCTCAATTCGTCGGGGCATAGACTCTACTAAGCGTCAAAAGCATTCCACATGGATGCTGGCCCATGTTGACTCCAATGCTTCCCACAGTTGTGTCAAGTTGGCTGGATGTCCTTTGGGTGGTGGACCATTCTTGATACACACGGGAAACTGTTGAGTGTGAAAAACCCAGCAGCGTTGCAGTTCTTGACACAAACCGGTGCGCCTGGCACTTACTACCATACCCTGTTCAAAGGCACTTCAATCTTTTGTCTTGCCCATTCACCCTCTGAATGGCACACATGCATAATCGAAGTCTCAATAGTCTCAAGGCTTAACAATTCTTCTTTAACCGGTCTCCTCCCCTTCATCTACACTGATTGAAGTGGATTTAACAACTGACATCAATAAGGGATCATAGATTTCCCCTTGATTCACCTGTTCAGTCTGTCATGGAAAGAGGTGTTCTTAATGTTCATATCTTAAATGGCCGTGTTTTCGTGACTTTGACAATGTAGATTTGAGGCACATTCTTAGCCTACAAAGCAAGAGATACGGAAGTAAAATGCACTTGCACATCATATTGCTGTGTTCAAAACAAGTGGGAAACTCTGAAAATACTAACCAATCAAACAAATGGTACGCCTAGCCAAACATCTCCACTTAAGTGATGATGCCCTTGAAGCCGGTGTTTGGAGGATATATTGGCACGTGCCAATATATCCTCCAAACACTGGCTTCAAGGGCATTATCACTTTTATACAACGGGTTACCAACATATTCAAATAATGATTGACATATTTTCATTAAAAACGTTATTTTGATGAATTTATTCATACTATTTCATCCTTACACAAGATATATTCCCGACACAAATCTAGGGTTGCTACCCAAGCCGACTGGTCGTTCATTCGGTTGTCAGAGACGCGACCCAGTCGTTCGTTTTAAATGTTCCATTGCCATACTGGCTGGCAACGTTCTTATCCCTTGCTTGCTAGCTAGCCAACTACGGCTAACTTAGAATAACAGTAAGCTGTTTTCTAGTGACATTTATTTGGATGCATCCACAACAATGAGCTAATGAGCCGCGATTTCGCCTGGCATATAACATTTGCTCTCGTCAGGACACTGTTGTTCAGAGGAGCTAGCCAACAACACAGCTAACACATTTACTTCAAACTGAAGCTGGAAAGACTGAAAACTAGCGTAGCTGCACTTCGTTTCGATTTATCTTTTTTCAATTGACATTTCTTTGTATACATCCATCAAAATGATGACAGCTGAATCATGATTTTGACTGGCTGAGAAAAGCTGCCTGCCTGTCTGTCTTGTCCTGACACGTTCATTACTATGGGACAGCTGGAGATCGAATTTGAATATTGAAACAATGTTGCAAATGTCGGAGAGACAGACATCAAGGTTTATACAAATCTCCGCTGTTTAAAACTAAATGTTTGTCTAAAAGAAATGTGAGATAATGTCTAGATGGTTTTTAGTGGAGATCAAGTTTATAAATAGCCTGGCTGGGCTGATGAGACCGTTGATTGCGCAGTCAGATGGAACAGAGTAAATAGGCATTTTAACGTCATAGATTTAGCCGGTGGTAACTTGTGGAATAGACACCGGCTGGAATGCGGTTTTAACCAATCAGCATTCAGGATTAGACCCACCCGTTGTATAAAAGTGCATAGGGGGTAGGTCTAACATATCCATCTGCAGACTATTTTTTTATTTTTCAGGAGACGAGAAAGGAGAGAAATTGAGGGGAGTGGAAAGGAAGGGAGGAGCGATGAGGAGACAAAATAGGGGAGGGGAGAGAAGAGAGTGGGGAGGAGACAGAAGGGAGAGAGAATAAAAAAAAGGGAGAGGAAAGGGGTGGAGAGGGTTTGACTTTATATTAGGAGAGCAAGGGTTCCACTCTTTTTAAGAGTTCCACTTATTTGTAGTTTTTGGTGTTTTTTAAGTAAAAATAAAAATCAAGCAACCAATTACATATTTTTATAAAAAGTTGGTGAGCATCCACACTAGAGGAAGGTTGATCGTTCTACAGTCCTACACCTGTCAATCAACTGATCAACGCATCCTACAGCACGCTGTAGGCCTGTTATAATAAGGTGGTAACGCCAGACCATTCAGTGCTTTTCAGGGAAACCACGTGTTTGATGTATTTGATACCATTCCACTGATTCAGCTCCAGTCCTTACCACAAGCCCTTCCTTCCCAATTAAGGTGCCACCAACCTCCTGTGTTCAATGTACATGTAGGCCTAATTAAAAATAATAAAAATGTAGCAATTCAACAACGCAGTTTAGCATGCACATCTGTTACCGGATTTCAATGCCTCGTTGCTCAAGTGATTTCCATTCTTCTAATGGTTATCAATTAATTTGGGTCTTCTTTTTCACCGTGCTCATAGCCATGTCTGTCCTGTGCATCTATTTGCAATGCATCAGTGCAACAATGTTATCATAACCGGCCAAAAGTGATCACGCAAACGCACTCTCTCCTCAACTTTCCCCGACAGTTAATTTTACCTATGCAGTTGGCCTGTTTTACATTCAGCAATTAGCTAGATCAAGCCTGCTTCTTTCCCAAAATAGTTTTTTATACTACACTTAATAGCCTATCAAAATAAATGTTGTAGCTTATAGCTTTTCCTGAGATTTTACGAGAAGATGAATGACCTATTTCGGAGAACACGTTTTTCTGTGCAATAGCTTTTTGATTTAAACATTTGAAACGTTTTGGTGTGTGTACTAGCCAATTTGATTAAATGTATACAGTGCCTTCAGAAAGTGTGCATACCCCTTGACTTAATCCACATTTTGTTGTGTTACAGCCTGAATTCAAAATTACATTGGGGGGTTACATTGGGGGGTTCTCGCCCATCTACACACAATACCCCATAATGACAAAGTTAAAACATGTTTTTAGAAATGTGTGCAAATATGGACATACCCAAGACGACTCAAAGCTGTAATCGCAGCCAAAGGTGCTTCAACAAAGTATTGACTCAGGGGTGTGAATACTTATGTACATTAGATATTTCTGTATTTAATTTGCAATACATTTGTACAAATGTCTAAAAACATGTTTTCACTTTGTATTGTGTGTAGATGAGAGGTGAGAAAATGTCATCCATTTTGAATTCAGGCTGTAACAACAAAATGTGGAATAAGTCAAGGTGTATGAATACTTAACGAAGGCACTGTAAATATTAGCTAGATATTAGGCTATTCATTAGCTAAATATTAGGGATAGGTTAAATATTTACCTGTCAAAGTGAAATAAAGAGAAAAGTTAAGAAATGGCAGATATGTGCGTTGCTCCAGGATGCACTCTGTGGTCCCCAGGCACGCAAAGCTCCGCTATTGATTAGGCCTAGGCCTACGTTTTTAGACAAAATTATACCACCTGGGCTACAACAACAGTGCAATGAGGAATGTATTATTGTTATCAAGTGAGTACACAATTATTGTTTATAGGCTGTAAACTGCAGTGATGTAGGCTTATTTGAATAACCGCTGAAACTGCCTGTTTTTTTTTCTGGGTTCATGCCGAAATAACTGCATACAGCCTAGGCCTGATTATGCAACCATTTGGATCAGTTTGTATCTACTGGACAGGTTAGAAGGTCCAGAAAGGTACATACGCAGGCCACTCATATTGTGTATTTTGTCAAGATGTAGCCTATCAGTGTTAAGGTAGGCTTACTATAGGAAAAAATGGGCTTCTCCTTTTCAACTCCAAGCCTGTTTTTTAATTCTGTAGCGTTTAGCATATTTTACATTCAGCAAGCTAGAGCAAGCATGCATCTCTCCTTCAATAGGCTATTAGTTAAGGAAATAAGTGTGCAACAAGCTTTTGTAGTCTGGCTTTTCCTGGGGCTCCACAAGATTTAAGAGGAATAACCGAGGCAGGGGCCTCGTAACTGTTGCATACATTTCACACTAAATATCTACATGCACCATTTCTAAAAAGACTGCGCACTTACAAAAATAGGGATTTATAAACAAGGCATGTTTCCCGTTATAAAATCAGACCCGTCCTGAAACTGTGCATGCGTGAACGAGCATTAAAACGCCTCATCATTCACCTTTTATGGTGACAATAAAGCCCTTATTTGCTGTATACTTTGGAAGTATTGGAATTAGGCCAAGGCCGTTTCTAAAAGACATAGCAATGGTGAACTTGATCAAATGCCTCTGGGGGTGTTGGCACAATGTTTTAAACTTTTACAGTGACATTTGCTGTATCTGACAGTTTCTGAAAGAAAAAAAACGATTGCAAATTGTTGTAGACCTGTAAACATACCGTTTGAATTCAATAATGTTTTGCGTTAACATTTTCCCGTAATTAAATATGCTGCTCTACCCATCAACTTTGAAACATTGTCTAGTAGTATGTCTACTAAACTAAATACAGTAGTAGCCTACACACTTCATAGTAAAATATCAACTGTCTGTTCATCTGCTAAATTCTACTGTAGGCCTATATTATAAACTGCGCTCCCTTTCGGAAGCATAAAGCAAAATAGGCTCCTAATAGCATATCTAATTGGCCCAATTAAATGAGCATGGTAATTGGTTGTAGGCTAAAGCTTCTTCGGGAATACAAACCCATCATGTACAGAACAGGTGGTGAGTTTATTCTATGGTTATGAAAATGTTTTATATATAGTTTATGAATAAAACATTGTTTACTTGAGACATCTGAAATTACAGTAGGCTATTCAGGCATAGGCTCTTCAGTCAAAAAAATAAAAAAAATGGAAAAGGTGAACCGTCTGTTCTACCGTTAAACTGCGCTCCGGATCAGATCGCAGAGCAAAATACTTGAAGTAGTTTATTTACTACTGTAAAGTGGGTCCAATTAAATGAGAGATGTGACGTTGTAGGCCTATAGGTTACTTCGCGAGTATGAAAAGTTGAGGAATTTATTCTGCAATGATCATGGAAATGAAATAGATGCCTATTTCTAACTATTTTAGGATGCAAAACAAATGTATCTTCCATCTTCTCATTAACGGCAAATGATTGTATCTTGTTATTACATTTACCTTTTACATTAAGCTTGTCATCATATCCCCCATTTGCACAAAATACTAGTCTACTTGCAATGCAATACTTCAACCACTAGAAATTGTCAAAAGTTTGCGGGAAGCTAAGCACATTCTCATGTCAAGTTCAGTTTTTATAAATGCCAACTTTGGCGTGAAAACTGGCCAAAGATGGGGCGTATTTTGTTTGTATGCAACATTTATCAATGAGGCCACTAAAAGTAGCCTAGTAGTAGCCTTGTGCAAATGGGGAATATATGATGACACTAAATATAATAACGAGATGCAATCATTTGCCGTTAGTGAGAAGAGTGAAAATCTTTGCATTCTAAAATAATTGTATTATTTATTTCATTTCCATGATTATTGCAGAATAAATTAATCACCTTTTCTGACTGATATGCTAATAGTACTTGCGAAATAGATAGGCTATGAAACTATAGGCCTACAACAAGTTAGGATATGCTACCATTTGTCCCATCTCTCATTTAATTGGACCCACTTCACAGTAGTAAATAGATAAGCTATTTCAAGTAGCCTATTTTGCTCTATGCGATCTGATCCGAAGTGCAGTTTAACGGTAGAACAGACGGTTTCACCTTTTCCATTGATGTTCGAGTACACAATATTTCATTTATAAAACAATACATCTTATATTACCATTGCAGAATAAATTCCTCACCTTTTCTGGCCATGATGAGTTAATATTCCCAAAGTAGCCATACAACAAATTACCATGCACATCTCTCATTTAATTGGACCTATTAGATTGGCTATTATAATTTCATGTTTTTGCTCTATGCATGCGACATGGAGCACGGTTTATAACAGAGTAGAATTTAACAGGCGAACAGACAGTTGATCTTTTGCATTGAAGTGTGTAGGCTACCACTGTAAGTAGGCCTACTGTAGTTAAACAAATATTTCAGAATTCACGGCCAGTGCAGCATATTTAAGGTATGGGGAAAAAGTGAATGCAAAACATTATTGCATTCAAACGATCTGTTTACAATTTGCAGTTGTTTTTTGTCTTTCAGAAACAGTCCGATACAGCAAATGTCACTGCAAAAGAAAACATTCTTCCAACACCTCCAGACATTTGAACAAGTTCACCATTCCCATTAGATACTGTCTTGGCCTAATTCCAATACTTCCAAAGTATACAACAAATATGGGTGTTGTCACCATAAATGGTGAATGATGGGCATTCTTCAGGCGGAGTTGTAATGCTCGTTCCCGCGCACACAGTTTTACGACATCCGATTTATAATGTGAAACATGCGTATGCTTATAAATCCCAATATTTTTGTGCGTGACCAGTCTTTTCAGAAATGGCACAGGCAGATATTTAGTGTTAAATTTACACAACAGTTATGAAGTCCCAGGCACATTAGCAGGCCAGTAAAAGTGTGTATTTTGTCAGGATGTATCGGCTAACAGAAACATGCTAAAGCAGGGATATCTAGTTGCACAAATATTAATTTAAGTCGCTGCAAGGTCAATCCGATGTCTGCAATGGCCGTGCAGCATTTATGGTGATATGGCCTCTGCAGAAGTCAGGGCATATATACTTCTTGCTCTTCACCGAGCAGCGCAGAGCTGTTGTGAAGGAAGTTGTCAAGGAAGTGAGTTTGTGTTTATACAGGACCTCCCGCCCTCACCTACCGTCAACCAATCATGTCAATGCCAAGCTCCAAAATTTGAGAGGCGCAAGGCGATGTGGTACAAAGCTAAAATGTGGCCTCTGCGTGCTTCCGGAGGCGCCGTAATTGCATCACACACCATCCATACGGCGCCTCCGACCACATTTTCGGATCAAGCATAAATTGGCTCTTATGATAATGCACAAGCGCGGAGGAAGTTGCATCCATAGTTTCCGCATTTGGCTTCTGTGTTTTAAAAGCGTTCGAAAATTAAGTGGATAGCGTCCACTGAGAAGCCGCAAACCCAACGGCTAAAGGCGTCCGCATGCTTCCCAGCCGAAACAGTTCGGAAGGGTTCATGCATATATTATGACGACATTTTGTGATGTTTTTGTTCATTTTGGACTTCCTTAAGGTATTTTGTTCGGCTGTTCAGGCACACATTTCTTTCATTGAGAAATACTACAGCAAACATCTCAGATGTAAAATTGCGCGACTAAGATCTCCTCTGCAAAAATGTCAAAATTAATGACAGATTTGAGTTCTCTTAATTCTGACTATTTTGAGGAAGTGTATACTGGCTACAGCGTCTCAAAATGGACAAACGGTACCATTGCCACTTTTTTTAAGGGAGTATGTGAGGTCTTTTAAGGGAGTATGTGAGCACACTCATTCGGTTTGGCTAGCCGCCAGCCGAACTGAAGCATGCGGACGCCTTAAAGAATTCCAGGATTTAGGGCTGACCCCATTTAGTCGACTGGTCGATTGTTTGGTCGATAGGCTGTTGGTCGACCCAGATTTCTTTAGTCGAGCAGTAGCAAAAAAAAAAAGATATATATATATATATCATGGTGTACAAGACACCCGTCTGATTCACGCCTGTCTGGGTGGCCTAATCCATTGTGGAGGGCCGTGGGGATTGAAATTCTATATGGTTATATTATGTAACAACAATGGTGGAACACTAATAAAAACGATATTGTATTACAAATACTCGTTCTCCTACGTTGGATAGCGGCCGCTGTCCGCAGTTCTGAAACACATCAGTGCGCTGTTGAATTGGCGCCTTTTCCTAGACCATGTGGTGCATAATAGCAAAGTTACCCAGCATATTGGTGTTGAGAACAACGTGGCGGAGGCAGCAGTGGAGTTAGGAGACAAGAAAACAGCCCTTGCCTTAATTGTCTTAGAAAAGTGGGGAGATAGGAAACCAACTTAAATTAGGTCTATAATCAATAGCCTAACTGTTAAATGTGCCTGGCTTTATAAATCACCCATATATATCTACAGAAATAAGACAGATCCTGCTCCTGTTGCCTGTGAGTGTTTGTTTAATAGCCTACTGATTTCCATGAGCACCAAACCTCATGCAACCACAACCTGTCGAATAAACAACTTCACAAAATCGGCTGTTTATAAATCTTTGCTGTGCTGTAATGAAGGCTTTACACTTTTTTTCCGTTAGAACAGCCTATGGTATTATTGATCATTTATCTAGTGTTGATTACACTGTTTCAAATTGTCAGAAGAAGAATATTTATTATAATAATAATAAAACACTTATTTTTCTTGATCTCCTTATTGTTAGTATTAGTATTATTGTCAGTCTAATAATAAGTAATGTCATTATAATTAGTAGGCTTAGTATAGCAGCCTTGTATAACCACCATCGAGCTGTAGGCCTAAGAACGCATCCTCTTTAGTCTTAATACCGTAACTTACTTGGGCCTATATTTTTAATAGTTATACAGGATACTGTATCAATCAATCATTCATTCGTTCATGTCATCACACAGCATACGAGTCATTCAAGATTTGAAATGCAAATAAAGCGACAATTTAATAATTAGCGTAAAACAATAAATAAACCGTTCCATTTTGTAAAATTGCATTCAGGAATGAATGCGACTGTTTTTAGTCTTTGCTGTAATAATAACAGATTCTCTGGTACGCTTATAATTTATTTAGTGTTGTTGTTCCAAACGGTCAGAAAGATTACAATATCGATTTAACAGCACCTGTTTGGCACACATAATATGCACACAGCGCTTGCTCCTTACCTTATTTTTCTTGATCGCTAGGATTTTCCACAACTTGTCAAATTTATTCCACACATCTGACTTCCCCTTTACCTCCTGAACAACCAGTAAACATTCCCCGTTTCGAGTTTATTTATCACGTCCTCTGCATCCATTTTGCTGTGTGTTATGTTCAGAGTTTGTTATAACCAATTTATTGACACAATTATAATAGGCTATAGGTCAGGCCCTATTGGTCACGTACAATCGATGCATACGTCACGTAAAGAGAGCAAGGGTTGAGGGAATAGGGAATGTTTTTCCGAAACAAAATGAAGGATTTCGGTAACAGAACTTTTCAGTCAGATATGGCTGTAATTATGTTGCAGCTTCAGCAACACAGACAGCGTGATAAACACTGTTCTGTGGTGGTCGCTGCAGCAGGGAGGAGACAGAGACAACGGGTGCTAGTCACAGTCACACGCTGTCATATTTATTTTTTCAACACCGCGCAGCAAGTCTGAGCCCGGCCCAATTAAATCAATTGCGGTTGGACTCTAGTCATTTGTGTGTCTTAATTATATCAAACAGTGCGCTTAAAGCATCAGACAAGCTTAGTGCATATAGTTCATTTGATTAAAATACATAGGACGAGTCTATATGAAAAAATACACATTTTAACATTTCGATTGGTCGAAAGAACATGACTCTGTAGACCAAGATTTATTTTGTCTGGGACAGCCCTACCATGATTTGTGTCAGAAATGTGTAAGACACTGAGCATCATACCTCTGTTTCTGTGGTCCACTTGTCTCCTTGCTCGTCACTGCTGCTGTACGTGGTGTCTGGAATGAACTGCCTGTTTACGAACTGAAACACAAACACAAGATGGCCACAGTCACAAAGCAGCCGAGATGTGATAACAACTGAATTAACAGGGTAGTGTTCAGTAGGTAGGAAATCGAAGAAAACTGCCGAAACAGGTATGCATTATCTGAATTTGTCCAACTGGAAGCACTCGTTTTCATTTCCGTTGCAAAATGTAGTAAAACATTGCCTTAATGAACCCGACCCAGGATAGTAAGTCCTCTCACCTCTGTAGCCTCCACCTTAATGGGCTCTATGTACTCTTCAACTATTTCACCCTCTGTGAAGAGAGAAATAACTTTCAGAATGCAGGACAAAAGATGTTCAATCAATCAACATCTTTATTGTCGCAATTGGGAACTTGTAATGGTGGTAAAAAAACAACAATACAGCAAAAAACGTACAACTTTAAGGAGCGAACAGTTAACATTTTGTATTGCTTACAAATGAACTTAAGCTGACTATATTTGTATTGCCTACAACTTGCTTACAAATTCACAAACTTACGTGTACTTTCGCTAACAGCTATATTGGTATTGGTTCGTCGTTTTCCCAATTTTTTTGTTGCACATTTCTTAGAATGGCAAAGGAACGTGACCAGTTCAGCTATCAGAATATGTATAGCTTTTTCCATTTATAACTCAAAAGTGCACATCTAACGTCAATGTCAAAGATTTTGACCTGGGTCGACGGTCTGCTCCTCTGCCGACTCCACTACGGCCTCAAACTGCTCCTCATCATCCTCCTCCTCCTCCTCACACACTCCATTCTGGTGGGACTGGGCTTTGTCAAAGTACCCGCTTAGCAGCACCCGGTCCAGGCTGTCCTTCAGAGCTTTGTCTGGGGAGGGGAAGGGCAGAGAACCATCAGCATCGCCATATCACAAAACACACCACAGTATTATGATGTATCAATCTACAATATGGTGGACACATTTGGCCTAAGTATGCCTCATCGCATTCTCCGTTCTTGTGGTCTGAGCACTGAACCACCCCTCTATTGAAGTGCTCTATTGAACATGACCCAGTTCTCCAAGAGTTGGTGGTACTGGTGACTGGAGAGAGGTGACTGGCTTTTCTAGCCCCATAAAGCTGAGACAGGCGGTTCTGTGTGTGTGTGTGTGTGTGTGTGTGTGTGAGAGAGAGTGAATGGGTCCTGTGAGTGGGACCACAGGGCAGGCTATAGGGACACTGGCACCCTGCCATAGACCTTGGCAACCTGCCCCAATGCCACTGCCAAGCCTTCAACATTCAGTCCTCTGGCCTGGCAGACTGCAGCACTGTACTGTGTGTGTATATCCCAAGGTCACATCAATCAGAATGCAGCACTCCTATAGGTTGTAACCCTAGGCCCAGATTATTCATATTACAGAACTGTACACTTACAAGACTTCAGCATTCATAATGCACCATTCCTACCATCTACTAGGCCTCAGTTAGGGCTGGCACAATTACCATATAACTACAGTTGAAGTCGGAAGTTTAAATATACTTAGGTTGGAGTCATTAAAACTCGTTTTTCAACCACTCCACACATTTCTTGTTAACAAACTATAGTTTTGGCAAGTCGGTTAGGACATCTACTTTGTGCATGACAAGTAATTTTTCCAACAACTGTTTACAGACAGATTATTTCACTTATAATTCACTGTATCACAATTCCAGTGGGTCAGAAGTTGATTGTGCCTTTAAATAGCTTGGAAAATTCCAGAAAACTATGTCATGGCTTTAGAAGCTTCTGATAGGCTAATTGACATCATTTGAGTCAATTGGAGGTGTACCTGTGGATGTATTTCAAGGCCTACCTTCAAACTCAGAGCCTCTTTGCTTGACATCATTGGAAAATCAAAAGAAATCAGCCAAGACCTCAGACATTTGTTTTTAGACCTCCACAAGTCTGGTTCATCCTTGGGAGCAATTTCCAAACACCTGAAGGTACCACGTTCATCTGTACAAACAATAGTATGCAAGTATAAACACCATGGGACCACGCAGCCATCATACCGCTCAGGAAGGAGACACGTTCTGTCTCCTAGAGATGAACGTACTTTGGTGCGAAAAGTGCAAATCAATCCCAGAACAACAGCAAAGGACCTTGTGAGGATGCTGGAGGAAACAGGTACAAAAGTATCTATATCCACAGTAAAACGAGTCCTAAATCGACATAACCTGAAAGGCCGCTCAGCAAGGAAGAAGCCACTGCTCCAAAACCGCCATAAAAAAGCCAGACTACGGTTTGCAACTGCACATGGGGACAAAGATCGTACTTTTTGGAGAAATGTCCTCTGGTCTGATTAAACAAAAATAGAACTGTTTGGCCATAATGACCATCGTTATGTTTGGAGGAAAAGGGAGGTTCTTGCAAGCCGAAGAACACCATCCCAATCGTGAACCACGGGGGTGGCAGCATCATGCTGTGGGGGTGCTTTGCTGCAGGAGGGACTGGTGCACTTCACAAAATAGATGGCATCATGAGGAAGGAAAATTATGTGGATATATTGAAGCAACATCTCAAGACATCAGTCAGGAAGTTAAAGCTCGGTCGCAAATGGGTCTTCCAAATGGACAATTACCCCAAGCATACTTCCAAAGTTGTGGCAAAATGGCTTAAGCACAACAAAGTCAAGGTATTGGAGTGGCCATCACAAAGCCCTGACCTCAAGCCTATAGAAAATGTGTGGGCAGAACTGAAAAAGCGTGTGCGAGCAAGGAGGCCTACAAACCTGACTCAGTTACACCAGCTCTGTCAGGAGGAATGGGCCAAAATTCACCCAACTTATTGTGGGAAGCTTGTGGAAGGCTACCCGAAACGTTTGACCCAAGTTAAACATTTTAAAGGCAATGCTACCAAATACTAATTGAGTGTATGTAAACTTCTGACCCACTGGGAATGTGATGAAAGAAATAAAAGCTGAAATAAATCATTCTCTCTACTATTATTCTGACATTTCACATTCTTAAAATAAAGTGGTGATCCTAACTGACCTAAGACAGGGAATTTTTTCTATGATTAAATGTCAGGAATTTTGAAAAACTGAGTTTAAATGTATTTGGCTAAGGTGTATGTAAACTTCCAACTTCAACTGTATGTAACCGACAGTTACGGATGAAGACAGTCATGCATAAATTATACAATTACTCTCTCTCTCTACTGCAGAAGTCGCGTTCGGATATATACGGGTCCTTTCAGACAAGTCAGTTAACATTACACACCAGAGACCCATGACAATCATATCAAGGGATGCAAACTGGTGAGGGTCCAAAATGTTGATGTTCATTTAAATTGCATATTTTCAGTGAATAACAAGTACATATTTGAACAATCTCAATTCTCTGGAAACATGTTTATGGTAGGCTGCCATTGCTTAATTGATTACGTGGGTTGAAATGAATCCCCAGAAGTGTATTGTGCCATATCACAACGTGTTGCTGTGCTCATGAGTGATTTTCCATGACTGAAACAGGCCTACTGGCCGGCTGTTTTGGTTATTTGAATCGCCATTCACCTTTTGTTTACTGCATTTGTTTAATATATAGCCTAAATACAGATTGTGTCATGCCTTTATCGATGTGATATTTTGTTTACTAGGCTTAACTTGGTACCGCCATTTTGTTCTGTTTGAATTCATTCGTTTGCATTCGCAGTTGTGTCAGTATTTTAAGCCAAACTGCTATTCAGTATTTTTGTTTGCATGCATAACTATGCTACCACTATCAGCATTTAGTTTGCACTATTTTGGTAAGACAGCTGGGTGTACATCTGCATTCACATAGGGTAATTCACCTATTACAAACAGCCTATCCATCTTGTAGCCTATATTCATTACCAAAACAGCCTTTCTTTAGTGTGTAGGGCACTGTCCATTCTGCTGATAAAGTGCAGTATGCAGGCCATGGAAGATCTGGGACATTCAGCTTCCAGGAATTGTGTACAGATCCTTGCGACATGGGGCCGTGCATTACCATGCAGAAACATGAGGTGATAGCGGCGGATACATGGCACAACAATGGGCATCAGGATCTCGTCATGGTATCTCTGTGCATTCAAATTGCCATCGATAAAATGCAATTGTGTTTGTTGTCCGTAGTTTATGCCTGCCCATACCATAACCCCACCATGGGGCACTCTGTTCACAACGTTGACATCAGCAAACAGCTCGCTCACAGGACGCCATACACCCGGTACAGTTGAAAACGGGATTCATCCGTGAAGAGCACACTTCTCCAGCGTGCCAGTGGCCATCGAAGGTGAGCATTTGCCTACTGAAGTCGATTAAGGCGCCAAACTGCAGTCAGGTCAAGACCCTGGTGAGGATGACGAGCACACAGATGAGCTTCCATGAGACGGTTTCAGAGAGTTTGTGCAGAAATTCTTCAGTTGTGCAAACCCTCAGTTTCATCAGTTGTCCAGGTGGCATTTATATTATTGTTTAGTATAATTCCAATACAAGAACCCCAAAAATGTCCCCACCCCTCTGACCTTCTGCTCCATTGGGTTTTGAGAAGGAGGCGAGGAGAGGACGGGAGGAATATGCAATTTAGATTCTCCCAGGAAGAAGATTTGTTCGTGCCGCTCTTTTACAGCTCAATCAGTGATCCACTCTGCGTCTAGGAACTTTATATCATCAGATCCCCCACCCCACTGAACACCTCCCTCTGCAACTGGATCCTGGACTTCCTGATGGGCCGCCCCAAGGTGGTCAGGGGTGCATGTTTTATCCCCTCCTGTACTCCCTCGTGCACAAGTCCAACACCATCATTAAGTATGCTGACGACACAACAGTTGCAGGCCTGACCACCAACGAAGATGAGACAGCCTATAGGGAGAGGGTCAGTGACCTTGCAGTGTGGTGCCAGGACAACCTTTCCCTCAACATCTGCAAGACAAAGCAGCTGATTGTGGACTACAGGAAACAGAGGGTTGAGTACGCCCCCATCCACATCGACGGGGCAATAGCGGAGCAGGTCAAGAGCTTCAAGTCCCTCAGTGTCCACATGGCTAAGGAATAAACATGGTCCACACACACACACACACACACACAACGCCTCTTCCCCCTCAGGAGGCTGAAAAGATTATGCATCAGCCCCCAGATCCTCAAGAAGTTCTACAACAGCACCATTGAGAGCATCTTGACTGGCTGCATCACCGCTTGGTATGACAACTGCTTGGCATTCGACCACAATGCGCTACAGAGGGTAGTGCATACAGCCCAGTACATCCCCTGGACCGAGCTCCCTGCCACGCAGGACCTCTATACCAGGCGGTGTCAGAAGAAAGCCCAAATAATTGTCAAAGATTCCAGCCACGCAACTCATAGACTGTTCTCTCTGCTACCGCACGGCAAGCTGTACTGATGCCTGGAACCAACAGGAGGACCCTGAACAGCTTCTACCCCCCCAAGCCATAAGACTGCTAAATAGTTAACCAAATAACTACCCAGACTATCTGTACTGACCCCCCTTTGCAATAACTCTTTTGACTCATCACATAGGCTGCTGCTTATTATCTATCCTGTTGCGTAGTCACTTTACCCCTTCACTTTTTCCACATTGTTACATTACATCCTTATTCTAAAATTGATTAAATAAAATAAGAATCCTCGTCAATATACAGTCGTTGTCAAAAGTTTTGAGAATGACAAGTATTGGTCTTCACGAAGTTTGCTGCTTCAGTGTTTTTAGATATTTTTGTCAGATGTTACTATGGTATACTGAAGTATAATTACAAGCATTCCATGAGTATCAAAGGCTTTAATTGACAATTACATTAAGTTTATGCAAAGAGTCAACACCCTTCTTTTTCAAGACCTCTGCAATCCGCCCTGGCATGCTGTCAATTAACTTCTGGGCCACATCCTGACTGATGGCAGCCCATTCTTGTATAATCAATGCTTGGAGTTTGTCAGAATTTGTTGGTTTTCGTTTGTCCACCCGCCTTTGAGGATCGACCACAAGTTCTCAATAGGATTAAGGTCTGGGGAGTTTCCTGGCCATGGACCCAAAATGTCGATGTTTTGTTCTCCGAGCCACTTAGTTATCACTTTTGCCTTATGGCAAGGTACTCCATCATGCTGGAAAAGGCATTGTTCGTCACCAAACTGTTCTTGGATGGTTGGGAGAAGTTGCTCTCGGAGGATGTGTTGGTACCATTCTTTGTTCATGGCTGTGTTCTTAGGCAAACTTGTGAGTGAGCCAACTCCCTTGGCTGAGAAGTAACCCCACACATGAATGGTCTCAAGATGCTTTACTGTTGGCATGACACAGGACTAATGGTAGCGCTCACCTTGTCTTCTCCGGACAAGCTTTTTTCCGGATGCCCCAAACAATCGGAAAGGGGATTCATCAGAGAAAATGACTTTACCAGCCCAGTCCAATCCCTGTACCTTTTGCAGAATATCAGTCTGTCCTTGATGTTTTTCCTGGAGAGAAGTGGCTTCCTCGCTGCCCTTCTTGACACCAGGCCATCCTCCAAAATTCTTCGCCTGACTGTGCGTGCAGATGCACTCACACCTGCCTGCTGCCATTCCTGAGCAAGCTCTGCACTGGTGGTGCTCCGATCCCACAGCTGAATCAACTTTAGGAGACTGTCCTGGCGCTTGCTGGACCTTCTTGGGCGCCCTGAAGCTTTCTTCACAACAATTGAACCTCTCTCCTTGAAGTTCTTGATGATCCGATAAATGGTTGATTTAGGTGCAATCTTACTAGCAGCAATATCCTTGCCTGTGAAGCCCTTTTTGTGCAAAGCAATGATGACAGCACATGTTTCCTTGCAGGTAACCATGGTTAACAGAGGAAGAACAATGATTTCAAGCACCACCCTCCTTTTAAAGCTTCCAGTCTGTTATTCTAACTCAATCAGCATGACAGAGTGATCTCCAGCCTTGTCCTCGTCAACACTCTCACCTGTGTTAATGAGAGAATCACTGACATGATGTCAGCTGGTCCTTTTGTGGCAGGGCTGAAATGCAGTGGAAATGTTTTTTGGGGATTAAGTTCATTTTCATGGGAAAGAGGGCCTTTGCAATTAATAGCAAATTCATCTGATCACTCTTCATAACATTCTGGAGTATATGCAAATTGCCATCATAAAAACTGAGGCAGCAGACTTTATGAAAATAAATGTGTCATTCTCAAAACTTTTGACCACGACTGTCCACACTATAACCCATAATGACCCAGCGAAAACAGGTTTTTAGAAATGTTTGCTAATGTATTAAAAATAAAAACCAGAAATACCTTATACGTATTCAGACCCTTTGCTATGACACTCGAAATTGAACTCCGGTGCATCCTGTTTACATTGATCATCCTTGAGCTGTTTCTACAACTTGATTGGAGTCCAACTGTGGTAAATTCAATTGTTTGGACAATTTGGAAAGGCACAGTTGATAGTGCATTTCAGAGCAAAAACCAAGTAATGAGGTCGAAGGAATTGTCCGCAGAGCTCCGAGACAGGATTGTGTCGAGAAGAACACAGTTGCCTCCATCATTCTTAAATAGAAGAGGTTTGGAACCACCAAGATTCTTCCTAGAGCTGGCCGCCCGGCCAAACTGAGAGAAGGGCCTTGGTCAGGGAGGTGACCAAGAACCCGATGGTCACTCTGACAGAGCTCCAGAGTTCCTCTGTGGAGATGGGAGAACCTTCCAGAAGGACAACAATCTCTGCAGCACTCCACCAATCAGGCCTTTATGGTAGAGTGGCCAGACAGATGCCACTCCTCAGTAAAAGGCACGACAGCCCGCTTGGAGTTTGGCAAAAGGCACCTAAAGATTCTCAGACCATGAGAAACAAGATTCTCTGGTCTGATGAAACCAAGATTGAACTCTTTGGCCTGAATGCCAAGCGTCACGTCTGGAGTGCTGCAGAGATGGTTGTCCTTCTGGAAGGTTCTCCCATCTCTACGGACAATTCCTTCGACCTCACGGCTTGGTATTTGCTCTGACATGCACTGTCAACTGTGGGACCTTATAGACAGGTGTGCGCCTTTCCAAATTATGTCCAATGAACCTAATTTACCACAGGTGGACTCCACAATTAAGTTCTAGAAACATCTCAAGAATGATTAATGGAAACAGGATGCACCTGAGGTCAATTTCGTGTCTCAAAGCAAAGGGTCTGAATACTTATGTAAATAAGGTACCTCTGCTTTTTATTTTTAATACATTTGCAAAAAAATCTAAACCTGTTTTCGCTTTGTCATTATGGGGTATTGTGTGTAGATTGCTGAGAAAAAATTAATGTTTAATACATTTTAGAATAAGGCTATAACTTAACAAAATGTGGAAAATGTCAAGGGGTCGGAATACTTTCCGAAGGCACTGTATGTATAATTATCTGCATGTCAGTAAGGGGATACACTGCATGAAACCTACTCTTCCGTTAACAGACACACACACTCCCTCCCACACTCTCTCTGTCTCCCTCTCTCTCCCAGACATACACACACTGCTCCTAACTTTAAAAACTTTAGGCACCAAACAGAATGTAAGCAGAAATATTTTTTTATATAGTTAGGCCTATATGAATCCTTCCTTTGAAGAACATCTCATGAGTAGCAGACCTTTTTCCTTTCTTCCTGCGCCAATCAAATTTGCCTAAACCTACTGTCAAAGTACCCAGGTTGTTAGCTTGCTAGGTAACATGACTGAACTTTGTATGTTTTCAAACCAATCATTAGCGGGCCGGGATTAGTTTAAAATGGCCCGCGACATGGTTTGTGAAATTCTATCAAATGCGCGCGAAATCGCGGAGGAAGAAAAAAAGCTAGCGCTGGTTATAGGAGTAATTTTCTTAACCGTTTGAGGTAGAAATGTTTTCTTTGCTGTAAAGCTGCAAAAGCATGCCTGTCATGAAGCTGTTTTTCATTTCTGGCACTGCTGTGTGACAACCAACTTGCAAAGCCTATACTCAGGCTGGCCTGTGCTCTTGGTGATATCAGGGATGAAATGATGTAAAATGTATCAAATGTAACAACAAAAGACTGATCAGGGTCTCCATCCCCGCTCGCCATCAAGGCTAAATTCTATTTTAAAAACTGATGGAGGAATAGATGTGCAGGAAGAGCATTCAGAGAGAAGCAGATGAGTGAGTGCTGGTGGGGGATGCGGCTGGCTGATCACAGCTGCCACACGTGATATGCGCATAAAAGTGAAGTGGACATTATTGGACTGGTGCATACAGTAGACTAGTTGCTGTTGTTTAAACAATTAACTGAACTTATAAACAACAACTGACTTTATAAACATTTTATAACAGGCGCCAGCGTGTTCTTTAGATCGGTAGGGCCGAAAATGTTGTATGAAATGGTACTCGAAAATGTAGGTATCATAAGTATCATGATGTTTTGGTACCGTGATATTACCGTGGTGGTATACTGTACAACACTAATTACTTGTGTTATCCTTCTATTATTCTCTCTGTATTGTTGGGAAGGGCCCGTAAGTAAGCATGTCACGGTTGGTCAGCACCCGTTGTTTAAAAAGCATGTGACAAATAAAAATGTGATGATTTGACTTGTGCAAATGGTGGAGGCACGCGTGAACGCGCAAATGGAGGGCCGAGGGGAAGAATTGTGATTATTTATATTTTTTCTTTGTTGCTATTCGAACGGTTATTACTGAGATCGCAGTCATTTGGCTGGCCAATTACAGTGATCCAAAATTCCATGATCGTCACAGCCCTAGCCTCAGTACTGCTCACAGTCCTGCTCTGCATTGCCTGCCTTATGCCCCCTACGATCCATCTTCCAGCCCTCAATACGCCCCCTCTGGGATATCCAGCACAAATCTTGTCATCTAAAGAGTTATTATGTGACAGACTGACACACTCAGAGAATAATTTAATGTCGTTGCCTACTCGGGGTATGCGGCCGTCACCGACGCGCGTTTAATGTGAGTGGGTCAGAGATGCAATCTGAGGGCTACCGATCCTGTCTTTGAGCCGTCCCAATATTTTTAAACACGTTTGACTTTATCGGCACAAAATCGGCAATGCTCTTGTAGTGCGAGATGTGCAACAACAAGTTTTGAAAACGGTGATCAGCAATAGCCTATGAGAGCTAACCAGAGAAGAAGCCAAAGATGACATTGTATCGCATCACTCAGAATGTGTACACTCTTGAGCAAAAGCGATGACTAAGCTACTACTAGTTTGTACAGTTCCGAAGTTCAAAAGCAATGTTATTTAATTCAAAATGTATTGACTAGATATTTCAACTCTGTATGACAAGCGTGAATGTATTGGTTTTATTTTTCAAAGTTTAATTTTTTTGGGCTATCCTGAATGTCTGGCTGAAAATGTTTTGAGGCTGCTTTGAGCCACAGCTCGTTCTGTTAACAATCTAATCACATTGTTTTCGCGAGACATCGTGGTATGGAGAATCCTCACGACTAAGTGAACGATCTTGTAGTGTGTGACCCCCCCGTCCCCGTCTGTGCCACATCGTTTAGTGTGCACACCACTACACTGGCAAGTCAAAAAAACTACAGGAAAGGCGGTTGTTTAACGTGAGAGGCTCAGCAATGTTAGGATTTTGAAAGTCGTGTAGTGTACACATGGCATTACAAGACGGCACAAATAGATCTGTGAGCAGGCTATGGCCAAACTGGAAGACAAAAAAAACAACTAACAATGCTACTTGACAACCACTAATTTACTAAAGGAAAAAAGACTGCTTTTCAGGAGCTTCCACCAACACAGACAGAAACATTTGTCCAGGGGCCTGTCCAGGAGGATGTAACGTTACAGAATGTTCAGATAGAAATGTATTGTGTAGACCAGATACTGTATAATTGTCTGTCAGACTAGAGATTGGGAATCGTGTCAGCTCTATTCGTTCCATTTCTAGCCGTTTCTTGAATGTTCAGAATGTTTCACACCACTGAGTAGTGAATTCACCTAGTAGTTGTAGGTTAAACTTACATGTTGTTCCTGCTACAGCTTTGTCCTTCCCCTCCAACAGATCAGTGAGGTGTTGAGAAGCCTCTTCGTACTGGTCAGACAACCTGCAACAGGAGAGGTACAGTTGTAACTTGGGAAAGAAAGAAAGATAGATACCTGCACACACTGTTGAATGCTCCTGCAGTTTTATTGAGTGCAATATTTTAACCCAAAAGTCTTCGTCAGGCTTGAGTTAAACTCCCATCTCAAGCGCTCTTGTCAATCAAGTCAAGGCGAAACAGTGAAACCCCCACTTCTAAACATCCCAGTTGAACATCATGTTTATGCATGTATTTGACAGATGGTGTCATGGTCAAGTTCTCACCTGAGACCAAGTAGGGCTGTGGCAGTCATGACATTTTGTCTGCCGGTGATTGTCATGCAAATAACTGCCGGTCTCACGGTAATTGACCGTTAATTAACCAACACATTTAGCATCTCCTGGCTTCCACACATAGCCTACAAGCCACTGACGCAGACCTTTGAAACATCTACAAGTCTAATAAATCCATGTAATGTAGCCTACACCTTCACAATAAAATCAATTATTTATTTTAGACTGGTCTAAAGAAACATGATATGAAGAAAATGTAATTCATTTCAGAAGAACAGAATAGCATACTCTGAGTTGTCTTTATATTTGGTCCTGATCTGGCTATGCCATATGGCTGTAGGCTACACTAGTTCATTTAGTAGACAAGATCTGTGGCATTATTTTATAATATGAAGAATACAATTTAATATAGCTGAATAAAATTGAAAGGATATTTTCTCCAAACGATTTAAGGGAGTGCACACATGCGGCTATTCTGTGTAGCGCTGTTGATAAAGAAACAGTTCCTCCTACAGTATATGCTTAATTTAGAGTTATTTGAGGACCGCCACAGGAAAGGAAGACCCAGAGTTTCCTCTGCTGCAGAGGATAAGTTCATTAGAGTTAACTGCACCTCAGATTGCAGCCCAAATAAATGCTTCACAGAGTTCAAGTAACAGACATCTCAACATCAACTGTTCTGAGGAGACTGCATGAGTCAGGCCTTCATGGTCAAATTGCTGCAAAGAAACCACTACTAAAAGGACACCAATAAGAAGAAGAGACTTGCTTGGGCCAAGAAACACGAGCAATGGACATTAGACAAGTGGAAATCTGTCCTTTGGTCTGTTGACTCCAAATGTGAGATTTTTGGTTTTTGGTTCCAACCGCTGTCTTTGTGAGATGCAGAGTAGGTGAACGGATGATCTCCACGTGTGGTTCCCACCGTGAAGCACGGAGGAGGTGGTGTGATGGTGCTTTACTGGTGACACTGTTGGTGATTTATTTAGAATTCAAGGCTCACTTAACCAGCATGGCTACCACAGCATTGTGCAGCGATACGCCATCCCATCTGGTTTGCGCTTAGTGGGACTATCATTTGTTTTTCAACAGGACAATGACCCAAAACACACCTCCAGGCTGTGTAAGGGCTATTTGACCAAGAAGGATAGTGATGGAGTGCTGCATCAGATGACCTGGCCTCCACAATCCCCCCACCTCAACCCAATTGAGATGGTTTGGGATGAGTTGGACCGCAGAGTGAAGGAAAAGCAGCCAACAAATGCTCAGCATATGTGGGAACTCCTTCAAGATTGTTGGAAAAGCATTCCTCATGAAGCTGGTTGAGAGAATGCCAAGAGTGTGCAAAGCTGTCATCAAGGCAAAGGGTGGCTACCTTGAAGAATCTAAAATACATTTTGATTTGTTTAACACTTTTTTGGTTGCTACATGATTCCATGTGTTATTTCATAGTTTTGATGTCTTCACTATTATTCTACAATGTAGAAAATAGTAAAAATAAAGAAAAACCCTTGAATGAGTAGGTGTGTCCACACTTTTGACCTGTACTGTATGTGTGAAATTTGTTTTGATTCAGAATGGACCACCATCATGCACCTGTTTCGAACCACAAATACATGGTCATCTATGCACTTATAATGCATTCGGAAAGTATTCAGACCCCTTGACTTTTTCCACATTGTTACATTACAGCCTTATTCTAAAATGGATTAAATAAAAAAAATCTCAATCTACACACAATGCCCCATAATGACAAAGCGAAAACAGGTTTAGAAATGCATTAAAAATAAAACAGAAATACCTTATTTACATAAGTAAATCAGACCCTTTGCAATGACACTCAAAATTGAGCTCAGGTGCATCCTGTTTCCATTGATCATCCTTGAGATTTTTCTACAACTTGATTGGAGTCCACCTGTGGTAAATTCAATTGATTGGACATGATTTAGAAAAGGCACACACCTGTCTAGTGGTAAGGTCCCACAGTTGACAGTGCATGTCAGAGCAAAAACCAAGCCATGAGGTAGAAGGAATTGTCCGTAAAGCTCTTAGACAGGATTGTGTTGAGGCAAAGATCTGGGGAAGGTTACCAAAAAATGTCTACAGCATTGAAGGTCCCCAAGAACACAGTGGCCTCAATCATTGTTAAATGGAAGAAGTTTGGACTCTTCCTAGAGCTGGCCGCCCGGCCAAACTGAGCAATCGGGGGACAAGGGCCTTGATCAGGGAGGTGACCAAGAACCCGTTGGTCACTCTGACAGAGCTCCAGAGTTCCTCTGTGAAGATGGGAGAACCTTCCAGAAGGACAACCATCTCTGCAGCACTCCACCAATCAGGCCTTTATGGTAGAGTGGCCAGACGGAATCCACTCCTCTGTAAAAAGGCACATGACAGCTCGCTTGAAGTTTGCCAAAAGGCACCTAAAGGACTCTCAGACCATGAGAAACAAGATTCTCTGGTCTGATGAAACCAAGATTGAACTCTTTGGCCTGAATGCCAAGCGTCACGTCTAGAGGAAACCTGGCACCATCCCTACGGTGAAGTATGGTGGTGGCAGTATCATGCTGTGGGGATGTTTTTCAGCTGCAGGGACAGGGAGACTAGTCAGGATCGAGGGAAAGATGAACGGAGCAAAGTACAGAGAGATCCTTGATGAAAGAGCGGTCAGGACCTCAGACTGGGGCGAAGGTTCACCTTCCAACAGGACAATGACCCTAAGCACACAACCAAGACAACGCAGGAGTGGCTTCGGGATAAGTCTCTGAATGTCCTTGAGTGGCCCAGCCAGAGCCTGAACCCGATCGAACATCTCTGGAGAGACCTGAAAATAGCTGTGCAGCGACGCTCCCCATCCATCCTGACAGAGCTTGAGAGGATCTGCAGAGGAGAATGGGAGAAACTCCCCCAAATACAGGTGTGCCAAGCTTGTAGCGTCATACCCAAGAAGACTTGAGGCTGTAATCGCTGCCAAAGGTGCTTCAACAAAGTACTGAGTAAAGGGTCTGAATACTTATGTAAATGTCATCAGTTTTAAATTTGCCTAAATGTCTAAAAGCCTGTTTTTGCTTTGTCATTATGGGGGTATTGTGTGTAGATTGATGAGAGAGAGAAATGATTTCATCCATTTTAGAATAAGGCTAATGTAACAAAATGTGGAAAAGTCAAGGGGTCTGAATACTTTCCGAATGCACTGTAAATAGCGAATGGAGGACGCTTTTCCTATGGTTCATTTTCATGCCAGCCAGGTACACTATACTCCTGTTTTAAAGAGATGCAAAGTGCTTAATATTAAGAAAGTTGAGAAATAAATATACTAGGCCTAGCCTATAGAAAGCTGATGGGATCCTCCTCTTTTTAATAGAGGCTATCACGCTGTTTTCTCACTCTATTGCATAGCCAACATGAGCTCATGGGCTCTCATGAAGTGTTTGATTAGATTTTCAAACTCATTTGCATTGATGTCAGAGTGATTCTGTTGATTCTTCCTCACAGTATTACGCTTAGAATGTACAAATACATATATTACTTACCTTTAGCCCAAAATCTGAACGTTGTGTGTGTGTGTGTATGCATGCATGCGTTTTACTAACCTGGTGTTTTGGTCTCGTTCTGGCCCCACTAGCTTGTAAAGCTCGTCCAGGGTGGTGAGCTCTGAGTCTGTGAGGAGTGAGGGTGTGCCTCCCCCGGTGGCCCCTTGTCTCAGCTCCTGCCTCACACTGTCCTCTCCCAGCCTGTCCAGGAGGAACTGGATCTCCAGCACAGTCTTCAGTCTCTTCTGCTCAGCCTCCTCTCTCTGGAGCTGCTCCCTCCGCACTGCCTTCTTCACTGCCTTCTGGATCTACAGAGACAGAGGAGACCAGGGAGTCAGAATCAAACACTGTGCAGGAGCTCTGGGTTGCGTTTCATTCCAGGTCTCCAGGAAGCCGTTTCCTCCCATCCGCCCTTGTTCACCCACATTCACAGATTTGATAGGACTAGATATGTGAAAGCAATATGGGAGAAACTAGGTGGAGCTATACTGCTTACACCTAGTTGTTTCAGATCCATGAAGGGGGGAGAAAGCATCCTCCCGGAATGAAACGCAACCACCCGGCGTTGGCCACTTTAATGCAAACAAGGATAACACCAGAGAGGGGGACCCAAATCAGTCACATCCCGACAGACAAGGACACATTGCATTAGATACGCTTACATCTTGCCCCAGTGCGAGGAAGCTCTTCTGTAGCTCTCTGGCAAACTCCAGATTATTATTCACTTCCTGATACTTGGTCAGGGCATCCTGCAGAGATGACAGAGGGAGAGGAAACTGGTTTACATTTACATTTTAGTCATTTAGCAGACTCCCTTATCCAGAGCGACTAACAGTTAGTGCATTAATCTTAAAATAGCTAGGTGGGACAACCACATATCAGTCATAGCAAGTAAATGCATTGCATCCTGCCTTCCTGCTCCCTTAAAGTATTCACTGAACTGACCACATATGCTAATTGATGAAAGCAATGTAATGGAAAGCTTGCTTACACCAACCCAATAATGACAGATCAGTGAGAACTTCAAGGAAGTAGTCAGATCAGACCATATAGGACTCATATACAGTATACGTTGTTGACCCACCAGCTGGTCCTGGTTGAGACGCTCCCCTTTATTCTTCTTGGCTTGATAATCGTCCAGCTTGCCCTGTGAGACAGAGGTCAGGTTTAACATGCATTCATCAGAGGTGAAAATGATCCAAATAGGGGTTGATGGCATAATAACAATTAACAGATTCTCTATAGTAAAATCTCTCATGTGGTGATCCAGAGTGAAGCAGATGCCTTCATCTGACCAGTTAGATTTTAATTGAAAATTGGCCAAAATACATAAAAACCTGCAACAGATATTCTATGGTAACCTCGTCCCTAGGCTCAATTACTAAATATATGGTAACTCTCTACACTAAACAAAAATGACAGAGGTTTACTGCAAGTGCTGACCACATGTCAATGTTGTTGTTGATACCTCTGAAAAATGGCAATACATCTCAACATACACAAGGGTGCCTGACAGCTAGACAGTTAAAGCTGCAATGGGTAACTTTTTGGGCGACCCGACCAAATTCACATAGAAATGTGTCAATCTCATTGAAAGCAAGTCGCGGTAGATCTGTTCTATGTGCGCCTTTTCTATGCGTCCCGTTCTTAAGTTTCGTTTTTGCTTCTTTTACTTTCGTTTTTGTACACCAGCTTCAAACAGCTGAAAATACAATACTTTTTAATTGGCACAGTTTAGATGCCACAATGATTCTCTACACTAGCTTGTTTTGTCACATAAACTGAAATTAGGCGAACTATTAGAATTTTAGCAACCAGGAAATGCATAGTGAAACTTTCATGAGATGGACCTTCTTCAGACAAGCTTTGGCAAACATCACAAATGTGTAACGCTCTAGTCAGGGCTTACCAATGCCAACATGAGAAAACATTAACGCCATAGACCAGTGTTTCCTCTGCATTCTTAAAGTGTGGCACTGTGCCACGGCAGAATCATTGCCGCCACACCAAAATAAACATTATATTTCTACCAAACAGTTTCAATAAAGTTCTGTAGAGCACATTCGCTTTTCTTGGTAAACAGATAATCTGTCTGGGTTCAACACAGTTCTGAAGGTTATTTAGCTCTGTGAGCTGGGGCAGGCAGCCTGCAACTCAAGAAACACAGCGTGCCAGTGACCAGTGCTCGATACGGACGCTCTGCAGAGTGAAACACAATTCACTTGAATCACTTCAGAGTGCTCCTGTGTGGGAAACCGCAAGACAGGTACGGTAGCTTGTTTTTTTTTTTTTACTAACGTTAGCTAGCCAACTACATAAGCTAGCTATAACCTAAAAACATCATTTAGATCTATAATATTGCTGCCACAATTGTAATGGCAATTAGCTATCCAATATCCACAAGTATTTTGATGATAGAAACATGGTTAACTAACATTACTAGTCTAGCAAGTTAGCTAGCTAGTACGTTTGGAACTGTATCAAGTACAAGCAAGATAGCTACATGTATCTGTCTTCGATTAGATTTTTTTCTCAGATTAGTTTATATTTCAGGGGTTGGACCAGCTGAAGGCAATGACAAAGCTGGCCTCGCAGTTTGATGAGTGGGGCAGTCTACCTCTGCCTTAGCCAACTGACAGCAATCGCACTGACTATACCAGTGTCTTCCGTTAATTGTGAGAGGGACTTCTCTGCAATGAAACGAGTAAGAACATTTAAAAATGTGAAAGTAGATCCTCTTTGTCCCTCTTCCTTCTCGTATTATTCTTTCTGTCATTTCAGGTCAAAACAGACTTGAGGAACAGACTGCAGGGAGAACATCTAGCCGCCTGCATGCGGCTCTCCATCAACACCCCCCATCAAGGAGCTCTATTACAGGAGGGCATTGGGAAAGCCCAGAAGAATAAAGTGCTCTGACAAAGGCTATAAACTATGTCAGAACTAGGTTTTTGTCAGAACCTGGAAAGAGATTTCCAACGCCCTCCTTTTGTGATGAACATGAATTGCTGGGCTCTAATTCATGCAAAGTCAAATGTTCCGCTGTTAATTATGTCAAGATAAACTTTATTTCAGAAAGACGGTCTCTGTTGCATTTCTTTAGATAGCTTCAGCACTCAACCCTAGATTGCATCCTGTATGCTATAATAATTTTACCAATAAATTATTGAGCTCATTTCTGGGGGTGGAAATTATATTTTAGATGGTTTATTTGTGTTTTAACGATGGTTTATTTGTGTTTTAACCTTTTAAAAAGTCACCAGACCAAGCTTTTCAGTACATATACATATATATATTTTTTTAAATCTCATTTACAACTGCGACCTGGCCAAGATAAAGCAAAGCAGTGCGATAAAAACAACACAGTTACATATGGAATAAACAAAAACGTACAGTCAATAACACAATAGAAAATCTATATACAGTGTGTGCAAATGTAGTAAGTTATGGAGGTCAGGCAATAAATAGGCCATAGTGCAAAATAATTACAATTTAGTATTAACACTGGAGTGATAGATGTGCAGAAGATGAAGTGCAAATAGAGATACTGGTGTGCAAATGAGCTAAATAAATAACAATGTAAATAACAATATGGGGATGAGGTAGTTGGGTGGGCTAATTACAGATGGGCTGTGTACAGGTGCAGTGATCGGTAAGCTGCTCTGACAACTGATGCTTAAAGTTAAATGAGGGAGATACGTGTCTCCAGCTTCAGAGATTTTTGTAGTTCGTTCCAGTCATTTGCAGCAGAGAACTGGAAGGAATGGTGGCCAAAGGAGGTGCTGGCTTTGGGGATGACCAGTGAGATATACTTGCTGGAGCGCATACTACAGGGTGGGTGTTGCTATGGTGACCAATGAGCTAAGATAAGGTGGGGATTTGCCTAGAAGTGATTTATAGATGACCTGGAGCCAGTGGGTTTGGCAACGAATATGTAGTGAGGGCCAGCCAACGAGAGCGTACAGGTCACAATGGTGGGTAGTATATGGGGCTTTGGTGACAAAACGGATGGCACTGTGATAGACTACATCCAATTTGCTGAGTAGAGTGTTGGAAGCCATTTTGTAAATGACATCGCTGAAGTCAAGGATCAGTAGGATAGTCCGTTTTACGAGGGCATGTTTAGCAGCATGAGTGAAGGAGGCTTTGTTGCGAAACAGGAAGCCGATTCTAGATTTAACTTTGGAATAAATAAGGACTTGCATCTTGCAATGTGTATTTTGATTCATGCAAAATTGCATTCTATTTTGAACTTAGGTTACGCTGTGCCCAAAAAGCTTTGTCCTAAAAATGCTGAATCTAGCCATCTTTGCACCTGCCTAGCAACTCAACCAGCAGCACTGATAACGCCAAGCCTAACCAGCCTAGCTTAACAAAATGAGATGAGTTGATAAATTCAATTTCTGAGAATGATGATTATCATGTAACAACGTTGCCATTTCAAGACATCGATGCCAACTAACATCCCTTTGCCTGCAGACAGTCACAATCAAAATCAAATCAAATGTAATTTGTCAAATGCACCAAATACAACAGGTGTAGACCTTACCGTGAAATGCTTACTTACAAGCCCTTAACCAACAAAGCATTGAAGAAAATATTTACTAAATAAAATAAAAAATGAATTGGGCTAACGTTAGCTAGAATAGCCGTATTTCCATGTGCTTGAAAAAACACATTGCTCATTCTTTGCCAAATGAACAAAATATTTGACGCTAAAACATTTTTTTTATATAGTGCATTCAGAAAGTATTCAGATCCTTTGACTTTTTCCACATTGTTACGTTACAGCCTTATTCTAAAACGGATTAAATTGTATTTTTTGCAAATGTATAAAAAAAATCTGAATTATCACATTCACATAAGTATTCAGACCCTTTACTCAGTACTTTGTTGAAGCACCTTTGGCAGCGATTACAGCCTTGAGTCTTCTTGGGTATAATGCTACAAGCTTGGCACACCTGTATTTAGGGAGTCTCTTCCATTCTTCGCTGCAGATCCTCTCAAGCTCTGTCAGGTTGGATGGGGAGCGCCGATGCACAGCTATTTTCTGGTCTCTCCAGAGATGTTCGATCAGGTTCAAGTCCGGGATCTGGCTGGGCCACTCAAGGACATTCAGAGACTTGTCCCGAAGCCACTCCTGCGTTATCTTGGTTGTGTGCTTAGGGTTGTTGTCCTGTTGGAAGGTGAACCTTCGCCCTAGTCTGAAGTCCTGAGCGCTCTGGAGCAGGTTTTCATCAAGGATCTCTCTGTACTTTGCTCCGTTAATCTTTCCCTCGATCCTGACTAGTTTCCCAGTCCCTGCCGCTGAAAAACATCCCCACTGTATGATGCTGCCACCACCATGCTTCACCGTAGGGATGGTGCCAGGTTTCCTCCAGACATGACTCTTGGCATTCAGGCCAAAGAATTCCAGCTTGGTTTCATTAGACCAGAGACTATTGTTTCTCATGGTCTGAGAGTCCTTTAGGTGTCTTTTGGCAAACTCCAAGCAGGCTGTCATGTGCCCTTTACTGAGGAGTGGCTTCCGTCTGGCCACTCTACCATAAAGGCCTGATTGGTGGAGTGCTGCAGAGATGGTTGTCCTTCTGGAAGGATATCCCATCTCCACAGAGGAACTCTGGAGCTCTGTCAGAGTGACTGTTTCTTGGTCATCTCCCTGACCAAGACCCTGCTCCCCCGATTGCTCAGTTTGGCCGGGCGGCCAGCTCTAGGAAGAGTCTTGGTGGTTCCAAACTTCTTCCATTTAAGAATGATGGAGGCCACTGTGTTCTTGGGGACCTTCAATGCTGCAGACATTTGTTGGTACCCTTCCCCAGATCTGTGCCCCGACACAATCCTGTCTCGGAGCTCTACGGACAATTCCTTCGACTTCATGGCTTGGTATTTGCTCTGACATGCACTGTCAACTGTGGGACCTTATATAGACAGGTGTGTGCCTTTCCAAATCGTGTCCAATCAATTGAATTTACCACAGGTGGACTCCAATCAAGTTGTAGAAACATCTCAAGGATGATCAATGGAAACAGGATGCACCTGAGCTCAATTTCGAGTCTCATTGCAAAGGGTCTGAATACTTACGTAAACAAGGTATCTGTTTTCTATTTTTAATACATATGCAAACATTTCTAAAAACCTGTTTTCGCTTTG